AAATGAGATGCTGGCTAAGAGGAAGAGCATCCCAGATGACAGCAGCACTGTCCCAGAAAATAAGAAGCAAAGCAAAGACTCCTGTGGCTGTATTCAGTGGGAATTTGAACGCATGGATATGAAAGCACAGATGAAGAAGAAAGAAGACGTGCAAAATATGTTCCAGGAAAATGAAAAAAAGGAAAAAAAAGATAGAACAGGCAATCTGAGGCACTTTCATATCTCAGAGAAATGACATAATATCTGGTATGGACATCCTGGTTCTTTCTGAAAAATGGCCCCTCCTCTTCTCACTTGTTGGCATGAAGACACACTTCAGACTCTTGACCGGTGTCTGTATCAGTGAGGAATCTGAGCAGTCCATGGCCACCAAATTGGCCAGAGTCCTTGAATATTTTCAGTCGATTCCACTGGACAGGTCAAGTGTAGCTGCAAAACAGAGAGCTGAGACCCAAGCTGGTGGTGGACCCTGTGGGGCTGTGTTGATGCTGCTTTCACATTTCAAAGAGGATGGTGTAACAATGTTCCACGTGGAACATGCATCGCTGCAGAGGTGGAGACAGAACACCTGCCACCCACACCATGCGTTGTTGTGGGCGGTAAGTGAGAGGCAACAAAATGTGTGAGCTGTACATGTGAGCTTTTACATCTGTTCAAATGTTTTCCCTTAAATTTCACAGCATTCCCCCTCAAATTTCACTTTTTTTTCTTTTTCAAAATGCTGCACATCTTGAAATATTTTATAGAAACTGCTCTCCACAAATACTAGAAATTCTGACATGATCTCTGCCTTTGGCTCCTCCTAGTGGAGCATTTTTGATTTTGCTTTTGGATTTTGCAACATGCCAGAGTGGAGGGGGACCAGGTGTTCTGAGTTGGCAATCAGCCGATTGCTCCAGCTGTGGCGATGCGTGACTTGTCATCCACTCATCAAACCTGCACTCACCATACAAGACGCCAGCAAGCCACAAGTCGACGCCGGATCGTAGTAAAATCTAAGTTAGTTTTGTGCTCGCTCATATACTCTGCTTGTAGTTTTGATTCTGCTTCTAACTCTACTTTCCTGTGCTCCAGTTTTCGCCACGCTCGCCACCTTCAGAGATCCACCATTCATTCCCTCCTCCTCACCGTTTGGATTCTCCTGGCTCCAGCTCTCCAAATCCACCGTGACCCTCCGCTGAAGTCATCTGGTCCACCTCTGGCTCCCCAACCCTAGCTTCCAGTATTGTTGTTTTCCAACCTCTCGTCTACTCGATTAGTAGTACTCGCATTTGATTTGTGTTCTTTGCGATAAGTTTATTGGTAATTCGTAGTTATAGGTCGTTGTCCTCTAGAGGACGTTTTGATAAATTCTTTAGTGCAAGTATTGGTTCGTAGTAGTGTAGATTGCTGCTTTGTTTGTTACTGGGTTTCATAATTAGTATTTGCATTAAAAAATGTTCGCATTGATTTTCAACTGTTCGGTGGTCGAGTCATCTGTCTGCG